CCCCCCCCCCCCCCCCCCCCCCCCACACACCCACACCAACACCCCTGATTTAACTCACAACCACAACCACAGCCACAGTCACGCCCCACACCCACACCCGCTCACACACACCCACACCCCACACCCACACCCACCCACACCCACACCCACCCACACCCACCCACACCCACACCCACACCCACCCACACCCCACACCCACCACCCACACCCACACCCTCAAGATATGTGTAAACATAAATGTATTCATTTCTTCTGTGTTACTTCGATAGCCATTTTTATTCATGTGGATAACAAGTGATAAAATTTTAGTTTTAAATATTTGAAATAGAAGAGTTTCATCTAAATATGAATGAAATACAACAATATTCCACGAAAAGACTAATTATTTCTCATATCAATTGATAGCTTTTATCTCTCTTCGACAAAATTATTCAATATCATCAATAATGTCTTTGTTATTCAAGATAATCATGTCTTTATACTCTGATCTTATTTTAAACAGAGATGTCATAATATCCATAAGCTGGGCATCCGCGAGTTACTAGTCACGATATCCAGTGAAGTGAATACCCAAACAAATGGATACCCAATTTTTATATCGTACAGAATTTCAGTGAATTTGGTGCAACGAGACTGATACCCTATCTTTAAAAAGTGAGAATTTTTAGTGAGTTTGAAGTAACTACGCGGCTCTCTATGGAAACTAACTTTGAATCATTCTGCAAGACTTCTGATTCAATTGAAAACTAAATAAAATATACTGGAATGTATAGAGAATCGTATCCTGAGGCTATACCGCCGTTTATTTAATATATCTTCAATAAAAAAAATGTACTCAATCTATTGCCCCCCAGTTAGTGGAGTTGGGCTAAGTGTCTTGACTTTCCTACCAAGCAGATATATCCAAGCTGGATTCCACGTAAACCACCGTAACACAGGTCGATAATAAACTTCAAATAGCAAAAATTTTTTAAAGAATTGTTTTGATATAATCTTGGAGTACCATACTATGGGCTATTTAATTTCAGTCTGAATTTATCAAATAAAAATAATACTTGATTTCAAACTGAAACGTGAGTCTAGGAGTGAGGGTGGGGAGTGACTGAGGGTGTGGGTGTTGGTCTGGGACCCACACACACACACACACACCCATGGTGCGGGTGTGGGCGCGCGAGTGAGGGTGAGGGTGTGCTTGTGGCTTTGTGTACTATAGGCTTTAGTCCCCTGCACAAGGGACTAAGGGGGACTTTGCAGGACTAGGGGGGACTAAGGGTTTTTAGTGGGACTACGTTGTATCAAACAAGAAAAGTTTGATTCGGAAGAAGTTGGTGCGGTTTTTTTGATTTTAGAATTCAGTTTGAAATAAAAAAGCCCATAGACTCTGGAGTACAGTGAAGTACGCTGAAGTACCGCATTTTTGCTTTTTCCCGCCTGGGTGGGTGGGTGAGGGTGTGGGTGTATTCATGTTAATCTTGTACGCTTTCGAAACGCCACTCACACCAACATCCACACACAAATCGACGTCCACACTCCCACCGGCACCGACTTTTCGGATATCCATCTCGTTACGCCAAATTCCCTCAAATTCCTCGCTGTTCTGGGATATATCGATGTTTGAAACTCTCGATACCCGAGTTCCGGATATTATGACATCCCTCTCTCTACCATGATATCCCGCATCACTTTGTTTTTGAACGCAGTGGAATATGTAAGCATCGACTACAAGGTGAAAATGTCATCGGTCGCATGTATTCCGTCAGCCCCAGTGATGTAGAACGCTACCATCTTCGATTATTCCTGTTGCATACTCATGGTGCCTGTAGTTTTGATGATCTCAAAATAATAGACAGCCAAGTCTGTCAAACATTCATGGAAGCTGCTAAACGACGAGGTCTATTACGTGATGATACTGAATATGAAAGATGCATGGCTGAAGCCGTTATCTTCCAGATGCCACAACAGTTAAGAACACTTTTCTGTGTGATACTTCTATACTATAATCCAACAAAATCGATTGATCTCTGGAATTTGTTTAAAGCACATATGGCCGAGGACTTCATGCAATAGATGGATGCTGAAAAAGCAGAAGCAATGGCATTTTATGCAATCGATGAAAATCCGAAAGAACAAGGTCGAAGTTGCAGTGATTTTGGTATACCATCAACAACATCTGTTTCTTATTCATTTGAATCAAAAATAATCAACAAAGAAGAAGAACTTCGAATAGGACAAGAAATGTATGCAATGTTGAATCAAGATCAACGTTCAGCAGCAGATGTAATTCTTGCAGCTCATCGTAAACAATCAACCACTGTTGGCTCATGTTTCTTCATAGATGGGTCTGGAGGTACAGGAAAAACCTACCTTTATAATACCCTGTACCATTTATTCATAGGACAAGACGTCCATGTTATGTCAGCTGCTTGGACAGGGATTGCTGCAAGTTTACTGCCTGAGGAAAGAACTGTACACAGTCGTTTCAAACTTCCTGTCCCTATCTTAGAAACGTCTACATTCAACATTCGGCCGAACAGCAAGGAAGCTGAAGAAATTAGAAAAACAGAAGTTTTCATTGGCGACGAAGCACCAATGGCTCCATCGTATGCTCTCAAGGCAGTTGATATCTTGCTGAGAGATATAATGAATATCAATGCACCTTTCGGAGGAAAAATTATGATACTTGGTGGAGATTTTCAACAAGTTCTTCCAATCATTCGACTTGCAAACAGATCAGATCTAGTTGCAGCAAGTCTCAAAAGTTCTGACTTCTGGCCTTACTTCAATGTAATGCATCTACACCAGAATATGAGAACAGGGCCAGGTGAAGAAAAGTTCTCAAAATGGCTTATTAAACTTGACAATGGTGAATTAACATCAAACGAATATGTCGAAATCGAATTGCCTAACTCCTGCATGTTACACTATAATTTGGTCGACGAGATATTTGGCCAATAAATTTCTATAGAAGATGTTCTATCTCTATGCAACAGAACAATTCTCTGTCCCAAAAATGAACATTCTCTCCTGGTAAATGAAGAAGTTCTTCGACGGCTACTCGGAATAGAAAAACTGTACACAAGTGTGGATGAAGAAGAGTGTGAAGATGGTGATGATGCAAACAACTATCCCACAGAATTTTTGAATAGCATCACACCATCAGGAATGCCTCCTCATAAACTTAAACTAAAGATCGATACAATTGTTATGTTTCTTCGCAAACCTCGATGTTCATCAAGGTCTATGCAGCGGAGTTCGGCTCATTGTACGACGTTTACAAAATCACATGATTGATTGTGAAGTCGCAACTGGCTGTAACAAAGGAAGCCGAGTTCTAATACCAAAAATTACAATGACATCGTCTGATACATTTTTACCTTTTAAATTACGTAGACATCGATTTCCTATTCGACTCTCATTTGCTATGACAATTAAAAAATCACAAGGACAGACATTTCAACGATTAGGACTACTTCTACCACAACTAGTTTTCAGCCATGGGCAACCATACGTTGCGGGTGTGGGTGTGGGGTGGGTGTGGGTTTGTGGGTGTGGAGTGTGGGTGTGGG